CTGTATGTGGGACTCGGCCTCAGGATGGACGGAGAAGTGGTGCCTCGATGCGCACCCGGGATCCGAACCCGGGCCACCAGCATCGCAGCGCGCGCATAAAGTTAGATTTCTGCTTGAGGAATTTGCCATACTTGTGAAGCTAGCAGGAGAAGGGAAAAAAAGACTAAAGTTCTAAGCTTAAAAATTCTGAAGGGCAAAACTGAATCCCATAAAATCTTTCAGGTTGAGAAGAAAGAGATCCATTAGTGTCATAATCAAAACCTGGAAGGGATATATCCAAAGAATAGGCACAAACCAGAAGTGTACTGGGCTATAGAGACTGCTGTCCAGATTCAAACAGGCTCAGTACTTGATTGGATTGAGGTGATCACACTCGAACCTTCATGCCTCATACAGGAGACAGTAAGTAGTTTCTGGAGGAGCATGTCAAGTCAGAGCCATATGATCTTTTACATACAATATCTAAAACACATAAAATAATTATGGGACATGCAAAGAATCAAAGGGATATGTGACTCATAATTAAGAGGAAAATAGTTAATAGAGGCAGACCACAGATGGCTCAATCGTTGAAATTAGTAAACAGTATCAAGTAACTCATATATTTAAAAAAGACATTAAGAAGTTGAAAAAATGGGAAAAACAATGAAGAATTTCAAGAGAGAAATGGAATATCTAAGAAATAACCAAATGGTATTTTAGAACTGAAATGAAACATGAAATTATGAATTTAAGCAGGCTTAAAAACAGACTGGACACAGCAGAAAAAAATATCGGTGAACTCAAAGACAGCTCAATAGATATTAGCCTAACTGACGTACAGAGATATAAAAGAATAAAAAAATTAGAACATATACATACATATGATTTATATATCTATGTATCTATATATGTCTGCAAATATATATATATAGACACACACATAGAGAAATAGTAATTACTTTATTTAAGAGTTTATACCTCAGACTCTCTATTGGGAATGTTACAAAGTACACACGACCATGTCATCTTTAAAAACCATATGAAATTTGAAGTATATTTGGCTCCATGGATTTCAGATAAGGGGACGTAAACTTGTATAACTTTTTGAGGCATAGAGTAGAAAGAATTTTTAAGTAAATTTTGTTATATGTAGTAATGAATAATTCACAAAAGTTGTACGTAATCTGATTGCTTGCAGGCCACCTGAACACTGCAGTGAATTAAATGGATAGTTTATTCCAAAATTGGACTTTTTGACCTACCTTCATACCACTTTTCCCCTGCTTTTATCTATTATAGATAATGAACCCCCAACCCATTTATAAATAGAAAGAGAAGAAGCAAAATCTCCGAAGGTTTTTAGTACATCCATCTTTGTATTTAACGTATATCTTCTAAAGCCAATTACAGTATTTCACAAATGGCTAAAACATGACTTGGAGGGAACAACATTTTCTCCAAATTATAACTATAATTCATTTTTGTTTTCTGAGTGTGATGGGGAATACTTAATGATTACCTTTATAGCTGTTTCTCCAGGTAAGGTATCTAGAATGTTAACTAATTGATAGACTAATTTGTCCATTTGTAAGAATATTCAAAGCAATGACTTATTGACAAAAATTTGGACACTATCTATATGAAATGCTTTGCTCAAAGAAATGCTTAGCATAATAGAAAATTTCAGAATGTAGTATTGGGTGTTGAAATAGCAGCACCAATATAAGTAATATTAATATTGTTATTAACTTCAAGTCATCCTTGAGCACAACCAAAATCATAGTCATAAACACTGGCCAAATTTCCCAGATAGGAAATCATTTTGCATTCAGTGATCAATAACTGATTGTGGACTATAATAAAATTGACACAAAACTTATCTCTGGAGATACATATGATTTCCATATGTGAATTGGGGAATGCTTCCCAGTCCCAAGTAACAGGACAGGTGTGGCTACTTTAGGCAACATACAATGGACATTCTGATAATTCGAGATCTTGAAATACCTGCAGAAATCCACATGCTAACATCGTAGTCTCTTAATGGCATTTTTAATTTCTTTGTTTCTTAGAGTGTAAATGGCTGGATTTAGGAGAGGTGTGATGACTGCATAAAATACAGCAAGAAACTTGTCCACCCAAGTGATGCTGAGTGGCCACAGATAAATGAAGATGCAAGGCCCAAAGAATAACACTACCACTGTGATGTGGGCAGTGCAGGTGGAGAGAGCCTTGGATGTCCCATTGTTAGAGTGAAGGCAGACAGTAAACAGAATATAAGAGTAAGAGATCAGCAACAGGGTGAAGCAGATAGTTGCCAGTACCCCACTATCAGCATTTATCAACATTTCTAGAATATAGGTGTCCACGCAGGCTAGCTTGATCACCAATGGAATATCACAGAAAAAGCTATCCAATTCCCTGGGTCCACAAAAAGGCAGCTTTATAATCATAGCTAGTTGGCTTATTGAATGCACAAAGCCAATGATCCATGATGTCATCACCAACCCCATGCACATTTGTCTGTTCATGATGCTGGAGTAATGGAGTGGCTTGCAGATGGCCACATAACGGTCATAGGCCATTGACACAAGCAGCACCATCTCACCTCCTCCAAAGAAATGTCCAAAGAAAATCTGACACATGCAGCCTCCAAAGGAGATGGTCTTGTTTTCCTTGAGATAGTCTGTGATCATCTTAGGAGTAGTGACTGAGGAAAGGCAGAAGTCGATGAAGGAAAGATTGGCTAACAGGAAGTACATAGGAGAGTGGAGGTGAAGGTCAGCAATAATTAGAAGCACAACGAAGATGTTGCCTAAAATGGTGATCAAATAAAGTGAAGAAAATATCACTAGGAGGAAGGCCTGGAGCTCCCATGAATTGCAAAGCCCAAGAATAATAAATTCAGACACAACAGACTGGTTTACTTCTTCCATTTAGTCCATTTTGTTCTAAATTCATCTGAAGAGAAGAGATGAAATTAGATTTTCTGAATAAATAGTATGTGATTAAAAAGGATTTCTCATACATTGCTGATGGAAGTCTATACTGATATAACAGCTTTGGGAAAAAATTTAGTTTTATCTTGTAACGTGCAACATTCATGCATTCTAGGCCTCAGTAATTTCACCCCCATTTACATACACAAGATAAACTCTTGTGTATGAATATAAGGAGAAATTTACAATAATTCCCATAAAGAAGACAATGGAATATCATTCAGAATCATAACAAATAAAGTACAACTATATAAAATAATATAGAGGTATCTTAATTAGACATAAAAATGAAGGGAAAAAAAAGTCCAAAATGGATCCACTAAGTATATTTTTTACAAGATGAAAAGCAATAGAAAAATGACAGTATACTTTGCAGGAACTCATATAAATGATAAAACTATGTATGAAAAGAGAAGATGTAAGATGTTAGTAAAAGTTCAAGTGGTGAGAGGTCCAGGGCCAGCATGAGGATGAGCACATAAACAGTTGTATGTTATTATCAACTGTTTAGATCCTGTTTTAGGTCATGTTTCCATAGGTATAATTTTATTATTAAATAGACAAATAAAAACACAAATGGATGTGGAAAAATGGTGAGAGTGTGCTATGAATCAGAAATTAGGATCAATTCAGTACTGTGGACCTGAGGTAAAATGATATTTTTTTAAAAATTACATTTTATTGTTTAGGGATTCTATGGTAGAAAAATAGTTTCTATATATAAATTTGAAAAACTGAAACAATATTTAGCACACTATTGAAGGTTAATATTATTTGTTAATAAATAAATAAATGAATCAATAATAAGTTTTAAAAAGTGATATTAATACTAATCTTGGAAAAGACAACCTAACAATTGGGAGAAGATATTAGCAAACCATACTTCTGATAAGGGCTTAATCTCCAAAATATATAAAGAACTCATGCATCTCAACAACAAAAAAAC